ACAATCCCAGGGCGTCAATGATCCGGAGCCTCACGCCAGACACCAGCGTCACTGTTAAGAAGAGGGCATGGGAAGCACAGTGCTTTGAGTGGCGCCAGTTTTTGAGGAAGTTCTCCGAAAGGCCAGATGTCAAGTGAATGAAGAGAGCAAGGCCAGTTAGATTCCTTGGATTTGCAGCAAACTGCGAAGGCCAATCCAGGTGCAGGTCTCCTCTTGAGCCTGTCCAAGAAGTCTTTCAATTTAATTAAAGTCTAGGTTTGTGGGTTAATCCACAATGCAACGCTGATTCAGATCATTCTGCGAGGGGAACAAGGTACGTAAAAAGCATCTGCTGGTGAGCGCCACCTTCATTTAATTTTGCAAAGCATGCCCCAACAATGTCTAGCACCGCCCAGGTGCTTGGTCCATTGGTCCCGTTTGGCAGCAGCCACTCTGACAGGCCTGGAACTTGCAATACAGATGCAGGCATAACTCTTTGCTGTAGTCAGCCAATGTACCTATCAGTCAAAGTAAGTAGTTTGCTTTAATTTAAGTTATGCTGTTGTCCAGTGCTGCATGACAGGGTCATTCTTCTCGATTCTGACGTCACTCAATCTGCAGTGCACTTGCATGCAGCCTGACCTGTCTGTTTCAATTTGGTTCAACCAGGGCCAATCCGTGAGTGTTGACAATCATCAGTATTCCAATTGGCCAATCATGGTGGCCAAAAAGGGAGGCCGCACCAGCAAATTGTCGGTCAAGGCCGATCAGCTGTCCAAGAAGCTTGAGAAGAACGAGACCAAGAAGGCAGAGCAGCTCCGCAAGGAGCAGTTGGCCAATCTTCAGGCAGCGGACGATCGGAAGGATGGGATGATCCAGGAACTCTCCCAGTGGTTTTTGGCCCATCCTCAGGCCCTTCAGCACATACATCGAGGGGCATTCATGGGCAGCTTTGACGCGTTGGATGGCCAATCTCTGCCCACTGTGTTTTGGCAACCAATCTGTTTAGTTTAGTGCAGCAATATGACAATCCTGCATTGTACATTCTTTTTGACCTTGGCCTAACTAAACTGGTTGAATCATGGCCAATATGGATGAATCACAAACCAAGGAGGACACAGAGAGGTACCCGGCCTACTTGAACAAATTCAAGTACCTCACGAAAGACAATTCATTGGCCATTCTTGACGGCATACTGCCGAGCGTGGCCAATTTTTTTCGCCGCTTGGCGAAGAAGGGCCAGCGGGTCAATCGGGAGGACCTGTCCCAGGTGGTTGCCTTTGCCACTCATACGGATCTTGGTTCAGCCCTTCCCACCAAGAAGATCACGGACTTCCATACATGGGTCAATCAACGTTGGTCTGAGCACGGATGCCGCTTGCAGGCGTTCAACGTTGATGGGACGAAGGGCACTCTGGAGGAGCAGTGCATTTGTCGTATAAGTAAACAACATAGCCAATCAACATGGACGACAAAAATGTAAGTTAGATTCGATATTTATGTTATAAATAACGAACAATGTTTGCCAGAAAATTTTTCCATCCCCCTGACAGGACCTCCACGACTTTCCGGGTTACAGATACTGGCAACTCGAGAAGGTCACTCCACAGGACAAAATGCCGGAAGGTGTCACTTTGAAGATCGTGTACCAGCTGCCAGGCCAAGGCATGTCCTTCCCCGTGCCCAAAGAGCTGCCGGCCAATTTGACAGCCGTGCAGGATATTCTGGTGACATCAGTACAATTTTCCATTCTTTTTGTTTTCTTGTAGCTCCTGATCAAGTCAGTCATGTGAATTCAGTGAATCTGTTATTAGCTTAGCAACAAGAGCAGCAGCAGTCCCCCTGCCAAGGACAAGCACAAGTGGAACACATCAGTGGGGTACGGCCGCTCCATGGCATCCATTGAGGAGATCATTGCAGATTCAGGGATTGAAGCACAGTCTTTGGAACGGCCCCTCTTTCTCAAGGAGTGCCCGAACGTGAAGGTCGAAAAAAAGGAGGCCGCTCCAGACGAACCAGTGAAGGCAGAGCCCAAAACGCCTGAACGCCGCCTCAGGTCCAAATCGGGACTTGATGAGTTTTCATCGCCAAGCACATTCAGGCGTTTGGCCATTGCAAAGGCTACTGCAGCCAGCCCCTCCAACAATGGCAAATCTGCAGGCTCAAAGGGTGCCTCCTCACCAAAAGCCTCACCCAAGGCAAAAAGGCTTTCAGCCTCACCCAAGTCAAGCCCCAAGATCCTCAAGAGCCCCCAGGGCACAGGATCGCCCAGCAAGTTCTGAGAATCAGAACTGGCAGCTACTCATCAGCTTCATTCAGTGCAAGGCCAAACCTGGGCCACTCAATCTAGACTTAAGCTGATGAAGTCACTTCTGTGTTAGTGTTACAGTGTTGTTGTTTGATGATGAACTGATGGGTTGCCTGCGACAAAGGTGAAAAGCCAGCAAATCAAGACTGGCGCAACATGCATTGCCAATTGCCAAAGGCTTTGATAAGTTAGCGTCATCACAAAGACATCTAGATAATTTCATTAGCATTGTGGTCTTTGTGGTCTGATGTTGTTGGGCAATGCCAATCATGCTGCTTGATTTTGATTCAAGGGAAGCTCCTAATCATTATGAAAGTTGCGCAACAGTAGTGATTTGACTTGAATATTCCCATTAGTCAGCCTTGAGTACAGATATTAAACCAGTTGGGGTGTATGAAAAAATAATAATATAATATATCAAGATAACTAGCTTTTGCAAATTCCTGTTCTTGTTACTTTACTTTACAGCTACATTGCTCACATGCTACATACACTGTACACGGTGGTCATATGATTTGATTGCCAATGCCGCTTTTCCTTACCCCTCTGCGTTATGGCGTTATCTATACACAAGTATAATAATATTTACTTTGTTATATTACTGTTATGTGCCTTATTAGATTTAACAGGTGATTTTAATGCTTTCGTTCTGTATATTTAAGTTAGTAATCATAATTATTTATAGTACCACAACTGACTCCTGCCTACAACTTGGGCATATTGTTAATTAATTTTGATTTACTTGCTACTACTACTACTACTACTACTACTACTACTACTACTACTACTACTACTACTACTACTACTACTACTACTACTACTACTACTACTACTACTACTACTACTGACGACGACAGTGACAACGAAAACGACTGACCACTACTACAATAACGCCAACGACGACGACTACTGCTACACTACTACTACTACTACTACTACTACTACTACTACTACTACTACTACTACTACTACTACTACTACTACTACTACTACTACTACTACTACTACTACTACTACTACTACTACTACTACTACTACTACTACTACTACTACTACTACTACTACTACTACTGCGATTATTAATACTACTCCACTACTACTTACTACTACTACTACTACTAATAATAAACTACTACTACTACTACTACTACTACTACTACTACTACTACTACTACTACTAAACTACTACTTACTATTAAACTACTACTACTGCTACTACCACTACTACTACTACTACTACTACTTCTACTACTACTACTACTACTATTACTACTACTACTACTACTACTACTACTACTACTACTACTACTACTACTACTACTACTACTACGACTACTACGACTACTACTACTACTACTTCTACTACTGCTACTGCTACTGCTGCTGCTGCTACTACTGCCACTGCTACTTACTTTACTGAGATGACAACTAGTAGTAGTAGTAGTAGTAGTAGTAGGAGTAGTAGTAGTAGTAGTAGTAGTCTACTACGACGCTAAGACTATTATTACTATGTATTAATAGAATTGTTCTGACCCACTACTGCTGCTACTGCTACTACTACTACGACTACTACTACTACTACTACTACTAGTTACTACTACTACTACTACTACTACTACTACTACTACTACTACTACTAACTACCACTGCTTAATTACTAGTACCTTCCAACATTTACTACTACTACTACTACTACTACTACTACTACTACTACAACTACTAAACAATAACAACAACTACTACTACTAACTACTACTACTACTACTACTACTACTACTACTACTACGACGAGTACTACTTCTCCTACTACTACTACTACTACTACTACTACTACTACTACTACTACTAGTACTACTAGTACTACTACTACTACTACTCCTCCTCCGACTACTACTACTACTACTACTACTACTACTACTACTACTACTACAGAACAATTTTTGATTCCTTACTACGTTTATTCAACCAATATATATATAAATAAATTCAATTGTATGTAACAACGGGTGAAGATAGTCAATACCAGGTACAAGCAGTACTTTGAATCGATGGTGGCTTCCCTCACGCAGTCAACTTTTGACATTGATGGCCAGGCTTGCCCATGAGTTGTACATGATGCAATGTGCAACTGTTATTCTTGACACACTGGCTGCACAACGGTTCGTCTCATTCCTGCAAATGTTTAATGGCCACTCAGAACGCACGAAGCCATGAATGAGTCAGGCCAATCACAGGACTGTATGTACTGAGAGTCGACCTCATGATGGTGTTTGAATGTGTTTTCAACATGGCGTGCTTCTGAGAAGGTTTGTAGGTGCTCATGTTTGCAGGGAGGACGGGCCATTCCCCACAGCCTGGCTCGGACTCAAGCCAGAAATGACGCAGATCTCGGTTTGGGCTGGAAAAATTGCACTTGCAGGGCATTCAGGCGTTCAACAGGTCCTCAGTGCAACAAAGTGAATTGACATATTCTGTCTTGATATCTTCAATTGACATAGACACTCATTTTCAGAACCCTGTCCCTCTAACATCAAAACAACTTGCCACCATCCATGTTATGAATCTCTCATTTCTGTTTGCCCCACTGAAACATTGACGTTGCAGGCTGCTGCCTCCTGCTGGCCTTCATGTGCTGAGTGGCTGGCTATAGGTGTACCAATTGCATTGTATGGTTTGTCACTTTGCTTAGAATACCTGTAATGTGTCCAGGGCCATGCATGTTGTTTAAAGCCTAGTCAGCTGCCAATCTCCTGAAAGCATATTTGCTTTGTTTGGATCCTGGCCATTGCTAAATGCACTTGCGAAGAAAAGGCGCGAAATTCCAGAGCTGTTGTGGGTTTCATTTTTGTGACGCCCCAATCCACCTAACCCACACAGAACCCCCCCCCCTTATACAAACTTCGCGAAAACCCTGCTGCATTCGCAGAAGCTGCGGCCTTTGCCCGTCAGACTCTCCCCCCCCAATGTTTTGCCTTCATTAATTTGTATAGGGTAGATAAGGGGTATCTCAGGGGTACCCTTGTCAAGGGCCCATACTAAGGGGCCATGTCACTACCCTAAGAGCAGCCCCCCGCCCCTCAAAGCCTGGGTTCCCCTACTACCCCACTCTTACTACCCCCCCCCGCCCTAGGTTCCCCGCTTAATTAACCTTAGCTAAGCTTAACTATCCTAAACTTGTCTTAATTATCGGGGGAGCCTAGGGGTGGGGTAGTATAAAGGGGGGTAGTAGGGGAACCCCACCCCCCCCAAAAAAAACAGCCCCTAACAGGCGTGCCAGAAGAGGCGGCTTCCAATCCAACTGGTCGCCTTCACCAAGGCTTCTGCCTGAGAGGGCCCAAAAAACTTCGACAGCCCTAAGCCTTAAACCCGAAACCCTAAACACTAAAGCCCTCGGAAAAGGGTGACTCCAGTTCAACAAAAAATATCACCGAAACCCTCAACCCTCAACCCCATGCCCGAAACCCTGCAGTGAGGAGCCCCCTAGTAGTCAGTGGGGTTTGAAGTGGCCCTAAATCTGGAACTCAATAGCCTTGGTCAGTTAGAAGTAGCATAAGTTAGGTTGCAAGCCCTGAACCAGTCGGGGCTTCTCGGCTGCTATCAGATTTTATCATGTTTTGAGTGCCAGTGTTCTGGGGTTTAGGATTTAGGGTCTAGGGTTTGCAGAATCATGGCGCTTTCAGCTTGTAGGGTTTAGGGTGGAGAGTCGAGGTGATGCATGTGTGGGGGCGATGATTCGTGTGTTTATCCTAAACCCTAAACCCTAAACCCTAAACCCTGAACCCTGAACCCTGAACCCTAAACCCTAAACCCTAAACCCTAAAGCCACGAGGTGCTCTTGCAGCCGGAGGAAAGCAAGGGCGTCGACCTCCGCGTGGAGCTCCGAGACCTTGCGGCGGGGCGCCCTAGAGGACATGCGGGCCGTGGAGGGTTTTGGTATGTGTTGTGAAAGCCATAAGCCCGAGCTCCGCTGCACTGGCAGATGCGAGCTGCGGGGTTTAGGTTCAGGGTTACTTCTACTGGGAATTACTCGTTGTACTACTGCTGTAACTTGTGCTGCTACTTTGCTGGTAGTGCTCTGAGGAGTGACTCTTACTAGCGGATAGCACTTCGACGACTAGCAGTAAGATATGAGCAGCTACAGCAAATGCTGCTGCTGAAACCTAGTCCTCCCACCCACAAGCACACTAACTAAATACAACCCAAAAAGGGGGCCAAAAGGGGCTTACGAAAATAGAGGACGCCCCCAATATAGACCCCCAAATAGTAGAATCCCCTTATAGTAAGGACCCCCAAAAAGGCACCCCTAATATCGTAAACCCCCAACCTTAAAATCCCTAAGCCTAAGCTCTAAATCCTAAACCTTAAACCTTAAACCCTAAAAAGCCCTAAGCCCTAAACCCTGAACCCTGAACCCGAACCCTAAACCCAAACAGGGACCACAGTTCGGCGAAGCCACTGTGCTACCACGTTTGGATGTTGCGATTTCGGGGTCTTGGAACGCAAGCCGGCCAGGCTTACGATGCCAAGGCGCGTCGGGGGCTTTAGGTTCAGGGTTTAGGGTTTAGGGTTTAGGTTTAGGGTTTAGGGTTTAGGGTTTAGGGTTTAGGGTTTAGGGTTTAGGGTTTAGGGTTTAGGGTTTAGGGTTAGTCTGCCTGAGCTGCGCATGCCTGATCAGATGGAAGTTCTTCAGGGGGTCCATTCGTAGCCCAGTTATGGAATAACACGCACAGGAGCACAATGGCTCTTGGGTACCTTTCCCTACTTCATACGGGTCCGTGTACCTATAGGCTTTAGAGTTTAGGGTTTAGGGTTTTGGGTTTAGGGTTCAGGGTAGTATATACTTGGGCCTCAAAGGGGCTCCTATAAAGTAGCTTTGCGGCCCGAGTGTGTACCATATAGGCACATGGACCCGGAAGGACTGTAATAGAACCACAGATGGAGCAAGAACCTTGTGGTGCGTCACGTCTTGGTGCTGTTAAAACGTTGCGATACCTGTATCTCAAGACCTGAAACCTAGAGTGCACCCTATAGAAACAGCACGAAACCTAAATTCAATCCGCTAAAAAAACCGCCAAAACCCCATAGACAATAAACCCTAAACTCCCGATCCGAAGAAGGCTTCGAAGAGCGGTCAATGGCAGCTGGAGCGCGGCATCTACCAGATTTTCGTGATGCCTGCCTCGCTTGGGGGGGGGGGGAGGCTTTCGGATCATTCGTGAGGATCCTAAACCCTAATCCCTAGCCCTAAACCCTAAACCCTAAGGCCTAAACCCTAAAGCCTAAGCCTTGGTTGGGTCCTAGGGCTTTAACGTTTTGGGGCCTTGAGGGCTCTTAGGCGACTCTTAGGGCTCAGGAGCCTGGGGGTGCCCCGGGCTTTTGGGGTTCTAAGCGGTTGCAGGCTTTGGGCGTTTTTGCGGTTGTGGGGTCTAGGGTTTTGGGTTTAGGGTCTAGGGTCCATTGTTAAGGGTTTAGGGTTTAGGGTTTAGGGTTTAGGGTTTAGGGTTTAGGGTTTAGGGTTTAGGGTTTAGGGCTCTGAATGGAAGTTAAGGGAGAGCTACGGAGCTGCTGCACTTGCTGTACCCTGAAATCCCGGAAGCCCTATTACTCCAAACCCTAAACCCTAAACCCTAAACCCTAAACCCTAAACCCTAAACCCTAAACCCTAAACCCTAAACCCTAAACCCTAAACCCTAAACCCTAAACCCTAAACCCTAAACCCTAAACCCTAAACCCTAAACCCTAAAACCCTAAACCCTAAACCCTAAACCTGCCAGGCGGGTTCGGCGGCCTCTGCCGATCTCCTACAGCAAGCCGAGCTGGAGATCGAGGATCAGGCCTCTTAGGATCTATCGTTTGGGATGTTCCCCCCCCCCCCCCCCCCCCCGCTATACTAACAGTCCGTAATAGGGATTATAGTATATACCCCCTATGCGAATCCCTATTGAGGACTGCTAGTATGACATAAGGGGGAACATCCCACTCTATGGTTCATATAGGGTTCAGGATTTCGGGGTCCTGGCGGCTCCAGCAAGGGTTTACGACTCACCTGGCGCTGCATATGCCCACATTTTGTTGGGGGAGGGTGCCAGGAGGGTCTATTCCCTCTCATGGGGGGCGTGCAAGAGCACTTGATTAGAAACCATTGTGCTGCGCTAGCGTTCGGCGACTTAAGCCCAAAGCCCTAAAAAACAGAAAACCGAACCCTAAAATCCGTCCCAAACCCTGAACCGTAAACCCCTAAAGCCTAAACCTGCCGGCATCCGCGGCTTTTAGGGGTTCAAGGCTTTGGGTCCCTCAAGAAGCCCCAAAAAGCCTAAATTCCCGACCGAAACCTCCTGAACCCCGTCAGCGCCCACAACATCCCTACCCTGCATCCCCTCCACGCCCCGCCCGACACACTCCCTCCCCCCCCAAACCCTAAACCCGAAGCCCGAGACCCTAAACCCCAGCCCTGAACCCCCAAGCCCCTTCAAACCCACCACCCAACCCACTCCCATGCAGTTTGGAGTGTTCTTTCAACCCTTCCCCTTGCTTCAACGTCGTGCCTCTGGTTCCTAAACCCTAAACCCTAAACCCTAAACCCTAAACCCTAAACCCTAAACCCTAAACCCTAAACCCTAAACCCTAAACCCTAAACCCTAAACCCTAAACCCTAAACCCTAAACCCTAAACCCTAAACCCTAAACCCTAAACCCAAGCAAGCCTCCACCCCGAGCCACCAGGCTTTCAGCTATCCTGGCCGTGTGGCCCGCTCCTCCGGTCCGACGCAGGCGTGCGCGTGCGGACGGAGTAGCCCGGGAGTCGGGGGGACAGGGAAGTCGAGGGTGAACCAGTGAACCCTGAAGGGTTTAGGGTTTAGGGTTTAGGGTTGAAACCCAAATTAAAACCTCAAAGCCCTTTGGCCCTAAAAACTTGAAGCCCTAAACCCCAGGTTTCTCTCCCAAAACAGTGGCCTCAGGGGGGCTTTTGACAAACCAAGTCCCGCTCCCAGGCCTGTGAGGCGTGTGTTCCGGAGGTGGAGTTGATCCAGGCACGGCTCTAGGGCAGATTTTTTTTTTTAAATTTTTTTTGGGGGGGGTTAGGTTTAGGGTTTAGGGTTCAGGGTTTTGGGTTTTGGGTTTAGGGGGTTTTTGGGCTTTTGGGGATTTGCGTTTAGGGTTCTATTGCTTAAAGGGGGAGTTAGGAGCTCTCAAGGGGTTTCGGGTCTAGGGTTCGTTCAATCCTTTTGGCGGGTCTTGGCCCTACTTGGAGGTTCATGGTACAGATTCACCAATTATACCTGTACTTCTAACCCACTTAGAAGCCCTGAAGTGCCTAATATGCTTATAAGTACAGTTATAAGTACAGTTAACCCTAAACCCTAAACCCCTGAACCCTAAACCCCTTATAAGTACAGCTATAATTGGCGGTTTAGGGTTTAGGGTTTAGGGTTTAGGGTTTAGGGTTTAGGGTTTAGGGTTTAGGGTTTAGGGTTTAGGGCAAGTATGGCTGGGTTGTTCAGGGTTTGGGGAGCTCTGCCCAACCTGACCGTGGGCATCCTGGAGCTTCTAAAGCACACAGGAGGTGTTGTTGGCCTAAACCCTAAACCCTAAACCCTAAACCCTAAACCCTAAACCCTAAACCCTAAACCCTAAACCCTAAACCCTCCTTGATGTTGCAAGGAACCCCTAACCTGAGGTCCTAGGATCACACGCTACCCTATACCCCAAAATCTCACAACCCTAACCCCAAAACTTAAACCCAACCTCAACCCTAAACCCTCAACCCCAACCCTAAACACTAACCCTGCACCTAACCCCTAAACCCTAAACCCTAAACCCTAAATCCTAAACCCTACAGTAACCCCTAAACCCTAAACCCTAAACCCTAAAACCTAAACCCTAAACCCTAAACCCTAAACCCAGCCTGGAGGGTGCCTCGCTCCCTGGACGCTTGCCAGTGGATCCCTTCATCGTCTTCGTCTTCGCCCCTCGGGCTCTGCTTGGGAGAGTTAGGGTTTAGGGTTTAGGGTTTAGGGTTTAGGGTTTAGGGTTTAGGGTTTAGGGTTTAGGGTTTAGGGTTTAGGGTTTCAGTGCGGAAACGGTTTAGGCCTTGCAAGAATGGACAGACACGAGGTTTAGGGTGCCGGGCTTGGCGTTGCCGGGCTTCGGGGCTCAGCCTTTCGCATCCTACACGCAGCCCTAAGCCTTGAACTGTCGTCATGGGTTTAGGGTTTTTTTGGGGTTTAGGGGTTTAGGGGTTTAGGGGGTTAGGGGTTTAGGGGTTTAGGGGTTTAGGGGTTTAGGGGTTAAGGGTTTAGGGGTTTGGGGTTTAGGGTTTAGGGATCTTCACTTCCGGATAGTTCGACATCCCTGCACTCCAACCTGCTTTTACCGTTTACTCTGTCCGCCCCGGCAACCGAAGCCCAAACTCCCAGTCGCCCAACTTCCAAGAGCAAGCGTTGCTGGGTTCAGGGTTCGAGTTTACCGTTCAGGGGGTAAAGCAAAAAACTGCAGACTGGGCAAGTCCTAAACCCCGGGCTTCCCATTTGCATGCTTCACTGGGTTTAGGGTCCATATAGGGTTGAGGGTTCAAAGCAGCTGGGCCTTTCTCCGGCAGCCTGTCGCACCGTCACGCGCGTGCTATCCGGAGAGAACTCCACAGCCAGTAGGGCCAACAAGGAGCATGGTGGTCTGGAGAAAGTACTTGCCGAGCCGAAATCCATACATACTCGCAGGGTGCTTCCCCCCCGCAGTGCCTGAACCCCAACCGCTAAAATGCCCCAGCCCCAAGTCCGAAAATACCCCTCAACATCCCTGAGACATACAACCTAAGGCAGGGCTCGGAATAGTTACCAATGGTACACTCTCATGGTCCCTATATACATCTACTGTAATCTCCCCCTAAAACCGTATTCTAATCATCAAGGCCCCTATACATTAGAAATCTACTGTAACAACCCCCCCCCCCCCCAAAAAAAAAAACAAAAACAAAACAAACCTATTCTCATCATCAAGGCCCCGACATATTAGCCCCTCAGCCCAAGGCGGTGGTCTACCGCATCCCGCTTTCGGCCGCTTCCCGGCAGTTGGCTTGAGCTTGGCTGGGGGGGGGGGGGGTTTGAGGCATGAGGGTTTAGGGTTCAGGGTTTAGGGTTTAGGGTTTAAGGTTTAGGGTTTAGTCTTCCTTTCAGATGTTGGGCTAGGCCCTTCCAAATGCCCACGAGCCGTACCGGCTCCAGTGCGGCGTCAACGGGCTCCATTGATACCCTTAACCTCGAAACCCAAAAGCCTAAACCCCGAACCCTAAACCCCGAACCTCACCCTGAAAGCGAGCGCTTGGAACCCTAAACACCCTAAGCCCTACTTGATAATTTGCTTTTTGGCTCTAGGTTCCCGTATTAGAGTAACCAGCTTTAAACAGGGGTACCCTCATCATGATTATGGGGGTTTAAAAAAACACCCTCATCATGATTATGGGGGTTTAAAAAACCATAAGGGGCCCTAATATCCTCGTCCAGGAAAACGGATGATGGGATCAGAGCCATCGGACCTCTGGGCTGACAGGGGGTTTTGGGGTTCGGGCTTCATGGGTTTGGGAGGGTTCTTGGGGAGCGGGTTTCTAGAATCCCCCCTCCCCCCGCCATGACCCCTGCGAAAGAGAGAGCGAGAGAGAGAGAGAGAGAGAGAGAGAGAGAGAGGGGAAGGGAGAGCGAGAGAGAGGAAGGGAGAGCGAGAGAGAAAAAGAGAGGCAGAGGAGTCTAGCCCAAAGTGTTCCACCTGTTTCGGGTCTTCGATCCTTCTTTGTTGTTTTTTTTTTTTTTTTGGCGGGGGGGGGGGGGGGGGCTAGAGCAAACATAGACCTTAAATCCTAAATCTTAAATCCTAAACCCTAAACCCCAAAGCCTAAACCCACTTTTTTGTCCACTCCACGAGGTGGCCGCGGCTTGTCGCATCCTGAGCTTGTCCTACCCTACTTGGAGGTTCCTGGTACTTATGAACCAACTATAGCTGCACTTATAACTGTACTTATAACCCTCTTAGGGCGCTTAAGGGGGCTTAGAAGTGGGTTATAAGTACAGCTATGGTGGATTCATCAGTACCATGAACCTCCAAGTACGGCGCCACGCAATTCACAGGGTTTAGGGTCTGCAGGTGTTAAGGCTCAGGGCTCGGGAGGCTGGGGTGTGGGGAGGGCTTTGGGTTTTGCGAGTTCTTCAGTAGACCCCTAGCCGAAGTCGCCACTGTGCTAAACCCTGAACCCTAGCCATACAAACCCCAGACGCCCTACAACGCCAGAAGCCCCCAAGACACCCAAAATCAAACTCTTCATGTGTGCAGTTGAAAGGTTCATAGGAGCCGTTTACCCTAAGTCCTAAACCCTGTGACTTTTTCCCTTGGAAACCCTATAGGCCATGAATGGGGTATGCATGAAATCCAAAAGGGCCCATGCATGGGTTTAGAGTTTTGGGGTTTGAAACTATCCTAAGGCCGAAGCCCGGCCCTAACCCCGGAGCACTAAATCTAAGGGTAGTTGCATGGTCCCTTAACATGGGCCCTTTAAGCGGGGACCCCTTACATACCCCTTATATGCCGTATTAAACCCAAGGGCCCGCTCTTGAGACTTCTTTAAACCAGGCAAGGGACCACCTTAAGAGACCATGTAGCTGCCCTTAGAGTTCTCCCGACCCTAAACCCTAAACCCTAAACCCTAAACCCTAAACCCTAAACCCTAAACCCTAAACCCTAAACCCTAAACCCTAAACCCTAAACCCCATGTAACTACCCTTAGCGTAAACCCTCAACACGAGGCTTGCTTGTCTGCATCTGCTGGCGATGCTGCGGCTGCTGCTGCCGGAAGACGGACAAGGCTGCAGTTTCGGGTTTGGGCTTTTGGGTAGGGTTGAGGGTTTAGGGGTTAGGGGTTTAGGGTTTAGGGTTTAGGGTTTAGGGTTTAGGTACGGTTTAAGGTTTGTGGGCCAGGGTTTAGGGTTTTGGGTTTTGTGGGTCCCAGGTTTTCTAGTCTAATTAGGCCCTACACCCTAAACGAATGTCAGATGGTCCGATTGCGCAACCTCCCAGGAACCCCTGGACTATTCCTGACATCTGAGTTCCCGTACAGAAACTAAGCAGGAGCGCAGGAAGACACTGCCCAGGACCAGAACCCTAAACCCTAAGGTTTAGGGACTAGGGCCTGAATGAACATTTCAAGCCAAAACCCTCAGGCCCCCTAGACCCCGCCCCCTAAACCCCAAAACGCTAGAAGCTGAAGAAGCCCAACTCCCAAGGTAAAACCTTGACGCCCCAGACCCTAAAACCGTAAATCCCGCAACCCTGAAAAACTAAACACCTCGCACCCTAAGCCCTAATTACACCCCAAATCCTAAACCCTAAGTCCTAAACCCTAAACCCTAAACCCTAATCCTAAACCCTATACCGGGCCTTACACGAAGCCATCAACCCTCGGCCGAGAGGTTGATGACAAGAAGGAGAGCTGATGGGAGCTTGGGGAGCGCGCACGCAATTTTCCGAAAAGCGGTCGACGAAGCCCCTCTCTTCAGGGTTTTTTTTTAGGCTTTAGGGTTTAGGTTTTGGGGTTTAGGGTTTAGGGTTTAGGGACCTCTCTTCAGTTTTTGTGGGGGCTTAGGGTTTTTGTAGGGTTGAGGGGTGTAGGTTTTGGGTCTTTCCCAAAGAAAAGAGGCACATACCAGCCCCCCCAAGCCCACCCAAGAATCATGAAGCGTGGCAAACCCTAAACCCGCAACCCCAAGAGTAACCCCTTCATCTGCAACCATACACAGTGCTACATGTACACTGCTGCCTAAACCCTGAAACCCTCAACCCCTTAACTTTGAGTTCAAGGCAGGAGCCCCAGAAACTACACATTCCTGCTGACAGTTCTTACCCATTTGTAGTAGAAACTACCCAAAAATCCCCCGAAATCATCCCTAAACACCACACCCTAACATAGGCCCCTCGAGCACATCGACTCCCGCAAGCATGTCTAGCTCGACATCGACCTGCACAGAGCATGTTTGCACTAGGGCCACATGTACCCCCTTCCCTGTACCCACCATGAGGCTGTTCAGGTTTAGGGTTTAGGGCTAAGGGATCGTAAGGCATGTGAGGCTCTAGGGGCTTCTAAGGCTTCTGAGGGCTGTAGGGCGTTAAGTCCTTTAAGCCCGAAATGCAAAAACCCCTTAGGTTCGCGCATAGGGCTTGCACCCGAGGATGCGTGGTGTAGGTTATAGACGTGATCTCAGCAACAGACACAGCCGCGACGCAACAAAAACCACTAACTCAACCCCAAGCCCTAAACCCTAAAGCCCAAACCCCAAACCCCAAACCCTAACCCCTAAACCCTAAGCAACAACGTAGAGGGACACACGCATCGATGCCTGTCAGCTGCGAGAAGGCCCTGCGCGGTTTAGGGTTTAGGGTTTAGGGTTTAGGGTTTAGGGTTTAGAGAGGGACTTAGGGTTAAGGGGGTCATAAACAGGTGCTTTCTGTAGTTTTTGCCTAAGAACCCCTACACCCCGGAGTAGGCCCTTATTCTCGTTTTTGTCGGGCTTGGGTTCGCTTGTACGGCCCTTTAAACCTAAGAGGGCGCCCTTCTCATACCTGGGCTACTTTTGGGTCCTTCTGGCTGGCTCTTAGGACTTTAACCTTTTGGGTTGTTGAAGAAACTACAATAAAGAGCTTATAGCTGTTTATCTTTCCGTACACCATGGAATTAACTTCAGCGCCCTGAATCCTCATACTCCTGACTCTGAATAGGGCTTAGGGTTTAGGGTTTAGGGTTTAGGGTTTAGGGTTTAGGGTTTAGGGTTTAGGGTTTAGGGTTCAGAAGTCCGCCAAGATTTACGGGTGTCTTCTTTTTTCTGAGGGAGCTGAAAGTCCAACCCCCAACTTGGGCCCTTCATCGTAGTCGTTGACTGGGCGATTTGAGGTTCATTACCCTAAATAAACCCTAGGCCCTAAGCCCTAAGCCCTAAGCCCTAAACCCTAAACCCTAAACCCTAAACCCTAAACCCTAAACCCTAAACCCTAAACCCTAAACCCTAAACCCTAAACCCTAAACCCTAAGAAAGAAAGCCGTCCAGGTCCAGACCCTTACATCGCAGGGCCTGGCCTCGAAGACGGTCGTCTACGAGCTTTGCCACGACTGCGCGAGGCAGGTCATAGTTTTCTTCGGAGTTTTTGGCACCTTAAGGGTTTGGGGTTTAGGGTTTAGGGTGTAGGGTTTAGGGTTTAGGGTGTAGGGTTTAGGGTGTAGGGTTTAGGGTTTAGGGTTTAGGATTTAGGGTTTAGGGCTTAGGGCTTAGGGTTTAGGGTTTAGGGTTGATTCATGTGCTTGGAGGTTCAGATTACTGATTAACCAATTATCCCTGTACTTCTAACTGTACTTATATCCCATATTAGCGCACTTAATTAAGGAGCTTATGAGTGGGGTTTACGGAAATAAGGGGCCCCAAATAGTCGGATTCCCTGATGCCAGGACCCCAATAAGGTACCCTAATTTCGGAGACCCCCCCATATGTTTTTTTTGGGGTACCCTTTTGGGGGGCTCCTATAATGAGGATTATACCATTTTGGGGTATATTATGGGTTGCCCCATCTGTGGAAACGCCATATAAACCCCAAGAAAAATTTTATTCTATGTTATCATTATTTTGGTTCGAATAGTGGCGTTACAGGTTGAGGGTATCGGGTTTCGGGTTCAGGGCTTAAGTGTGTTGCAGGGCTCAAGTGTTTCAACCCTAAACCCCAAACCCTCAACCCTAAACCCCAAAGGTCCGGTGTTTGCAGACGGTGTTCAGGGGTTTGAGGTTTTGGGTTCAGCGGCCATGTATTCACATAGTCATACAGCAACTTTGAACCAAAACAGACTATGCGGTAACTAGCTTTGGGGACCCTTTGGGGAAGGCTTTTTTGGTTTCTGGGGGTGGGGGCGGAGGGGGTAGGATCGCGAAAGCCTCTGAGCCCGAAAGGAAAGCAGGCAAAGCGTGAGTTCCCCCCCCCCCCCCCACCACCCCGAACCTTCCTCGGAAGCCTCCAGCCTTTCTCACAAATTGGAATGGGTTCCTCGGGTTCTCCAAAACCCACCTGAAACCCGATTACAGCTCGCATAGTCCCTTCTATAATACCCGCCCTACCCCCCAATATGAAAAATACTTCCCATAGACTATAACAAGAATGGAAATATTCAATTTTAGGGGAAAGGGGGGGGGGGTTAATATTAGGTGAAAGGCTGGGATGCCCAGTAGTACCCTTATTCCCTTTTTTGGGGGTTTTAGGTTCCCTTATAAACCCCTTTAAGCCTTTTTAAGCCTAGGTTCCTAGGCAGCCCTAAACCCTAAACCCTCAGCCCGAAGCCCTAAACCCTAGAAGGATTATGCAAAAAGGCGCATGTGGTGCGCTTCATAGGTTTCTCACCCCGTCGTCATGGCCTCACCAGGGGAGCCCTTGGGGGTTTCTAGGGCCTGTGAGGCATAAAGGGTTTAGGGTTTAGGGTTTAGGGTGCAGGGCGCTTCGGCTTAGGGACTTTCGGACCTGGCGCTGAAGCTTCATTGAGTTCTCGGTTCAAGGTTTAGGGCTTGTACTACTACTTGCTTAAGAACCTAGAGTTTGTACTACTATTAGCTCAGGTTTAGGGCTTGTACTACTACTTGCTTAAGAACCAGGGGCTTCTACCACTATTAGCTCAAGAGCCACCCAAAAACTGAGAGCACATTCTTCCCTTAATGTATGGATCATTACCTTGTGTTTTTTGGGGGGGGGCTTAGATGGTTTGGGTTTTGCAAAGGGTCAAGCCCGGACCACCCCCATTGGGAGCCATGGGGCGATCGCGATCGCGGAGCTACTTTCCCTCCGCGTTCATCCACTTGTTCCTTCGTAGCTGAGTGAGTACACTTTACACTTCTTGGGATACTATAATCTCTACAAAACTAAAAGTGTACACTTTACCTAAACCCTAAACCGTAAACCCTGAACCCTGAACCCTAAACCCCAAACCCTAAACCCTAAACCCTAAACCCTAAACGGGCTTATGAACTCAGCAACTAAGGTTCTGCGTTGAGCTGGCTCCGCTGTTCGTGATGTCTGCCGGTCTGCTTTTCATAGTGCAGCCTGTGGCTTTTGGGGGGTTTAGGGTTTAGGGTTTAGGCGGTGTCGGGACTCCCGCCGAAAGAAATGCCTGCGTCCTTCCCTCCCCTAGGAAACGCAAGATAAGCCAACCTAAGCACTCACAAACAAAAAAACCCTGTATTAGGGTTTAGGGTTTAGGGTTCAGGGTTTAGGGTTTAGTGTTTGGGGTTTAGGGTTTAGGGTCAATTGTGGCGAGGGGTTTTCGGGCTGGAGAGCGCATGAACTTTTGGAAGTCTTGGGCTAAACATAAGGCATAAACAGGCATTTTCCTTTCAAAGGCCTCATGATTTGGGGCTGCGGTTCGAATATTTAGGGTGTCGCCCAGAACCCTTATCCTAAATCCAAAACCCCAAACTGCAAGCCCCAAACCCTAAAGCCTAAACCCGAAACCCTAAACCCTAAACCCTAAACCCAAAACCCTAAACCTTACACTCCCCTCCTATAAAGCTGTGCTCAGCTAGGCTTGGTAAACGCTCGGGGTACTTATTGTAAGCTGGGGTATAGGGTTTAGGCTCTAGGGTTTTGGGCCTGTGATCAGATGCTTACAAGGAGCCAACTATTTGCCTTTGAGTCAATTCAGGAATTTCGAATCTGCATACTTTTTGAGGGTTGGTTGAGGCCCACGGGTATATCCTACGACCTAAGCCCTCAACCCTAAACCCTAAACCCTCAACCCTCAACCCTCAACCCTCAACCCTAAACCCTAAACCCTAAACCCTAAACCCTAAACCCTAAACCCTAACTCCGAGTTTTGGTTGGTTTGCTTCCTGGCTCTGAAAGAACCCAGGATTTTTTCCTTCTACGGGACCATCAAGGACAGGAACCTCAAAACACTCCCTCCCCGCTCCTAGCAGAATTAGGGTATAGGGTTTAGGGTTTAGGGTTTAGGGTTTAGGCTTTTGCTTCGAACATCCCCACCCTGCAGGCAAGGAATTTCCGAGCTCACTCGGGTACTGCAGGGACACGCTAAGGCTGTGTTGTTGAAGTGGGGTTTTTGATGCAAGCAAGCCGAAATCCTAAGCTAAACCCCTGCTGGGTTTAGGGTTTAGGGTTTAGGGTTTAGGGTTTAGGGTTTAGGGTTTAGGGCTCACAGGAACAGGGCGGCAAGAATTTCTACGACGCCATCCGCGGTCATAAGCTTTCCGAGTTTGCCAAGCCGCTGGCCGGTATCTAGGGGCTCATAGGTCTAGTTGGTTTAGTTAAGTGGTATAAGGAATAGTCCCCTACATATATATATATATGCCTTATATACCTTATATAGCTATATATACCTTATGTGGTTATACATACCTTATATACCAAAGTAGCTCCTAAATAACCCTAAATGACCCCTGGGATCCCTTATAAGGGTCCCTCCTTGAATCCCTTGATGTAGGGGCTAGGGTTTAGGGTTTAGGGTTTAGGGTTTAGGGTTTAGGGTTTAGGGTTTAGGGTTTAGGAATGTACGGTAATGGACACCCTGGCAGCACAGATCATGTAGCTCAATCCTCATGTGGAAGACTTCACCAGCGACTTCCTAGGGACCCCAGACACGTGACCCTTAAGGAACCTTAAAACCCTAGCCCTAAACCCTAAAACCCTGAACCCTAAACCCTAAAACCCTAAACCCTAAACCCTAAAACCCTGGCCCTAAACCCAAAACCCCTAAAACCCTAACCCCGCTTGCCCCAAACTAAGAAGATACCAAAGGCCTTGGTGCAAACTCCTCAAAGCCGAAGAAAGCCCAAGCAGGCGACGCCCCCAGAGTCAACTACGACATATATATATATATATGTATGATAATATATATATACAAATATATATGCTAATCACGAAATCTAAGTTAAATGTATATCACGTGCAATTCAACTTGAAATAACTTGTACATCTTGATTCACAGAAACCGGGAGTTTGTGCATGCACATGAATGCGCTATGGGGCTTTTATGCGGGTTCTTGCGGTACTTGCAACGAGGTCAAGCTGCCACGATACGGGTGCTATAGTATGCATGGCCATAGGATGGTAACTCAGATGGGGATTTCCGAAATTGGGGGGTACCTTATTGGCGTCCTTCTTACAAAGGATCCCTAGAATTTCGGGGTCTAAAGGGCCCCGAATTGTCGTAAACCCTTAGATAGATGCCCAGACCCGGTGACACAGGCTTGACGGTGTGGGCGACTTCGATGTGATGGCCTCTAGGCGCAGGTTTTGGGGGGGTTTCAGGTTCAGAATGCCCCAGGGATCTCTGGATCGCACATGTGTAGTTGCATGTTCATCATCGATAAATGATGGAAGTTGTTTTTGTTGAGCAAGAGTAACCCTAAGCAAGGCCCAAGGCCTGGAACCTAGCGATACTATGCATAGGTGTGTTCATCATCTGTGTAGAACTCGCCGCGCAAAAAATATCTTGTAACGACATCTTTGCAGCCATCGTCATGTTTGGTATCCCTAGTTTGTTAGAGAAAGAGATGTTTAGATGACAAGTTTTCGTTGCGTTTTCATTAAGAAGAATTACAGCAGTTAATGTCCCAATGCATACTAGTAGTGCTGTCTTTCACGGCTGCTGTACAAATGCTGGCTTCGGGTTAAGTGTAGGGACAACCCTATATGCCAGATGAGCCCCAGACCTCGTCCTCCGACCCTGGGGTTCAGGGTTTAGGGTTTAGGGTTCAGGGTTTAGGGTTTCTCTGTAAATCCGGCACGCCATCCAAGCCCTACAGGCTCTGAAGCTTCCTCTAAGCCACGTAAACTCTTTAAACCGTGTAAAGCCTGTACTATATATGAGCACCGTGTCTATGATTTCCCGGAAGCCGTATAACCCTCCCCCCCCCCCCCCCCCGGCAACCCTAATCCTTAACCGCCCCTAAGCCCTAACTCCCTAATTCCCCCAAAACCCCTAAACCTCCAAACCCTAAACCCAACCCCACCCCTAAAACCCAACCCTAAACCCTAAACCCGAAACCCTAAACCCTAAACCCTAAACCCAACCCTAACCCTAAACCCTAAACCCTAACCCTAAAAACCCTAACCCTAAACCCTAAACCCTAAACCCCCTAAACCCTAAACCCTAAAAACCCTAAACCCTAAACTAAACCCCATCCCATGAAAGCCTAAACCCAGCTCAGTCAAGCCCAGGCCTGTGGCAAGGACGCCATAGAGCGCATGCTGTGGACTGGCACCTCGGGTTACTGAATGAGCCTTGTTGGTGTTTAGGGTTTAGGGTTTAGGGTTTAGGGTTTAGGGTTTAGGGTTTAGGGTTTAGGGTTTAGGGTTTAGGGTTTAGGGTTTAGGGTTTAGGGTTTAGGGTTTAGGGTTTAGGGTTTAGGGTTTAGGGTTTAGGGGGATTTCGGTGGTATCACGGTATGGGTAGTAATTGGAGGTTCACGATTATGTAGAACCCCAGCTATAAGTGTTATAACTCCGCTTATATCCAACTTGGAGGACTTGGGGGGCTTATAGTTGGGGTGCCTCCAAGTAGTTCGTTACCGTAAACCCTCAACCCTCGACCCTAAACCCTAAACCCTAAACCCTAAACCCACGGGTCCTAGTTCGTTGGTTTTAAGGTGCCATGTCGTTCCTCCGAGGCATTTTGCGCTTTCAGTGCGGGGACCCGGCGCAGGGCACCTACGTCGAGGAGGACGTCTTCCTGCCGCGCGACATCACGCCCCACTCACCTTGTCCGCCTAAGCCCTCAACCCTGAAGCCTAAACTACTAATTGCTTAATAAATAACCCCCCCGCCCCCCCCCCCCCCCCCCCCCCAAACCCCCCTCAAAAAAATGAGTAATAAAAAACAAACAAAAAAATAAATAAATAAATAAATATATATATATATATATATTCCTCCTCATAATAAGAGCAATATAGGGATGTAAATCTTTAGGAGGTTGTTAAGCAAATAGTCGAAAACCCTAAACCCTAAAGCCAAAGGTTTTTCGGGGTTTTTGGGGCTTGGGGTATTGCATGTATCGGGTTGGGTTGGGCTGAGGGTAGGAAGCCGAAATTGTCATGCTCGGCTCAAACTCCGTAGATGCTTAGGCACTATGACTTTCAGCATACACAAAGTTAAAGAGCTACTTCGGGGTCGAGCGCACCTACAAATAGAACAAGCTCGTGGACTTTTTGGAGCTGATGGGTTTAGGGTTTAGGGTTTAGGGCCCCTAAAGCCCTAAGCCCTAAACCCTAAACCCTATAAGGCC